CGCTGGGCGGTGGCAGAGCGTTGTCGTTCTCCCCCGCTGTACCCGTCTAGGCGGGTCCCGCGGCCGTGGGGATGGCCTCGGGTGTGGAAGGAGGCGAGGCAGACCTCCAGCCTGCTTGGTGAATCAGGATTCACGGGGCATTTTCTAACCCATTTTCTAAACCCGGCGGTCACCTGGGTGGGCATCCCCGCCGAAGTAGCCGAGTAGAGAGTGGCCGTAGTCGTTGAATCCGAGTGTGTGCACTGGTAGCCACAGGTGGGAGAACTAGACTTAGAGCCCTTCTGCTTCTAATTGAAAAGCCCTTCACGTCGCCTGCCTGTGGGGTGTGTTGTTTGCTTTGGTGCCGGAAAGATGGTGCTGAAGTAAACGGATTGGGTTCAAAAGAAAGTCAAGTCAGCTTCCCGGTTTTTTGTTTAATACCCCCTATCCCCACGTCTCGATCCTTTGCACTTTCGGTGATTTGACAGGCTCAGAAAGATTATATAAACTTCCTTCTTTGTGGTAAGCCCGGGATTCAAACAGAAATGGTACTCACTAGCTAACCGATTATTCCGCAAGAGAGGAAACATGAAATGGCTGTGGTAAGAAAGAAGGGAGCTTTCTGTTTTAAAGCTCAAGCCAGACCAAGTCCTGCACCAGCAAGAATACTTTAAGCTGAAAACTAGACGACCACTTCGGAGTAAATTGCAAAAAGGAGTCCTTCTGCCCAGATAATTCGCTCTACTGCACCTAATTTCATATGACATTTATTTACATCAGTGGTGGGAAACTTTTTGTAAAGGGCCACCCAGGAAGTAGTTTCAGTTTTGTGAGCCCACTTTGTGCTCTGCCATAGTCTTTCTTCTGTGTTGCTGGCAGCTCTTTGATTATTTATTTATTTATTTATTTATTTATTTATTTATTTATTTATTTATTTATTTATTTATTTATTTATTTATTTATTTATTGCTGTGCCGGGCATGGAACCCAGACCCTTGCGCATATTAAACACAAACTCAACTGCCCCCCACACACACTCACATCCACACACACCCTTTTGCAACTCTTTGAAAAATGTAAAAATGGGCTAGGAATGTGTCTCGATGGTAGAGAGCTTGCTCAATATGTTTCCTAGCTTCACGGTTGGTACTTAAAAAAAAATGTAAAGAAAAAAAAAATCCCTTTATTGAGGCATTTGGGTTGTATTTTGCTAATGCCTGATTTAAAGCACTTTTTTGTCCCCTGCATCATCAGTGAAATTATAGATCCCATCAAATAAAAAGTGTTTTTTTTGATCCTCTGCACTTTAGTTTAAAGGCTTAGAGGAGAGCTATGTATATTTATGTCATCACCCACTAATAGCAAACACATAAATAAGCCTTACCAGAGATCAGGCAACATGTACCTGTATCTAGCTGTGTATTTAATTATCTCAACAACTCTAAAATTGTCTACATTTTACTGAAGGTCCCTAAACAGAAACATTGAGCAACTTGTGGAAGGTCCTACAGCTAGGGTGCAGCTAGGATGTGGACTTAGACCTTGGAGTCTGTTCTTAACTTCGATGTTATAGTAACTGTTAAGTCACCCCATCTTGCTTTGTTTGTTTGTTTTTTGAGACGGGATTTCTCTGTGTAGTTTGGTGCCTGTCCTGAATCTCACTCTGTAGACCAGGCTGGCCTCAAACCCACAGAGATCCACCTGGCCTTGCCTCCCAAGTGCTGGGACTAAAGGCGTGTGCCACCACTGCCCGCCTCATTTCGTTTTTTTTATGCTTTACCTACCGTCCCATAAGATAGTATAGTTTTGTTTTTTTAGACAGTCTCTATTATGTAGTTCTGACTGTCCTGGAACTCACTCTTTAGACCAAACTGGCCTCAAACTTATAGAGATCTGTTTTCCTCTACCTCTTGAGTGCTGGGATTAAAGGTGTTTACCACCGTGCCTGGCTGTATAATCTTATAGTAAGTCTTTAGTTGCATTTTCACTTAATACATATTATGAACATCTTTTATTGTCAGTACATACTTGTATATCTTGCTTCATTTTCTCCCAAACTGCTGAATATTCATGATGGATTTATGATACAACTATTTCTGTCAATTCCCATTTAGGTTAGTTCCAACTATAAGTAATACTATAACGAGCATTTTGAGTATTCCTATAGAGATCAATTAGAGGAATTATTGGACTCAGGAATTCAGTGGTAGAATATGCCTGTAATCCTAGTACTCAGTAGGCAGTAGGTTCAAGGCCACCCTGGGTTATATAATAAATATCAGTCCAGCCAAGGCTGCACACTTAGACCCTGTCTAAAAAAACTAAAAATAAGAACCAAAAATAGACAATTTGCTTTTTGACTGGTAACATATGCCTGTAAACCTAGCACCTAGAAGGCTGATTAATTTAGGAAGATTATGAGTTTTTGGCCAGCCTAGGATAACAAAGTCAGACCTTGTCTCAAAATAAAATTTAAAATTACTGTTTGCATTTTGATAACTAGAAAAAGGCCTTAGCAATTTATACTTGTATCAGCTAGTGTATTGGAAAGCCAATCTAGTTAGACTGGTTCTTATCACAACCATATATTTAGTTTTCATTTGTCTGATAATCCCAGAATTGTGTCTTGCTTTATATTTTATTTATTTCTTTGAGATGGGCTCACTATGTACTTCAGTTCCATGCACTATGTCTGGCTGGTTTTTATGTATCCCCCCTGCTGGAGATGGAATTTAGCCATTGGCTTGCTTTAAAACACATTTTAAAAGGTATTTTTGGGGGCTGGAGAGGGGGGCTCGGCAGTTAAGAGCACTTGCTGCACTTGGCAGAGGATCCAAGTTGGAGTCCCAGCACCCATGATGGGCAGCTCACAACCACCTGTAGCTTCAGTTCCATGGTCTTGAATACCACCTTCTAGCTTCCATGGGCACTCAAACATATGTGGCATACACTCACAGAGATGCAAACACATAACTAAAAAGTAAAAAACATCTTTAAAGATTTCTTTTTTGTTAGTGTGACTCTTTTAATTCTATTGATTGATTGCTGCTGGGGATCAAACACAGGGTACGTAATAGACAAAGCTCTGCCTTTGAGCTGTACTTTAAGGCCCTGACATTTAATTTCTTATGTGAACTGCTTATTTGTTCATTTTTACTTGTGGTCTCCATAGCAGATAGGAGCCTATTTGGTTGCAAATAATAGAAAATTCAATTAAATTTGGGCATTTATTAGCTCCTGGACCATCAGTGAGTGGGTTTCAGATAGAATCTGACCAGGGCTACTGTTTTGTTTTTGTTTTTGTTTTGTTTTTTCATAAACTTTTCAGTTCTGTCTTCTTCTGGTGTTGGCTTTGCCCTTAGGTGGCATTGTTAATACTTGCAAAGCTACAGCCATGGCAGAAGGAAGGACATGCTTGAGAACTGCAGGCAGAGAACTTGAGGATTAGACTGAGTAAACCAGCCCTACATTAGTATCCATGGTCAAGGAGCGGTGCTGAGTAGGCCTGGTCACCTGAACCTTTAATCCCTGTAGCAAATAAGATTACTCTGATTGGTTCAATCCCATGCAAACCTCACTAACCACTGCATAGTATAGAAATGCATGCTAGAGCAAAATATAGATTAAAAAATTACAGATGTTGTCCCTTTAAATTTGAAACAAGCTCTTTATGGATTGTACTAGCCCTTTTTTGCTTTATATGTTTCAGATTTTTCTCTAAATGTATTCTTTGCTTTTTAAACTCAATTTTAGTATTTTTTTAATTGTGTGTAGGTTTCAAATACTTTAGTAATCAGATATATTAACTCTTGATTTATGGCTTCTAGATCTTCCTCATCTAATGGGAGGTGGCTTCATCTAATAGGTAAAGTGTTTGCTGGGCAAGCATGAAAACTGAGTCCCCATAAGCTGGGGTAAAAGAAGCTGGATATGTAGCTTTGTGGATCTGTAATCATAGCGCTAGTGGAGAGAAGAGAATCCAGGGATCACTGTCCAGCCAGACCAACCAATTAATTGACTAACGCAAGCTTTAATGAGAGACCGTATCTCAGAAAGTAAGGTGAAGAAGTGATTGACCTCTGACCTCCACTCCGTGTACACACACATGCACACACACATTCTCTGATCTTTTTGTTTTGAGACAGAGTCTCACTATGTAGCTCTGGCTGGCCTAGAACTTACTGTGTAGACCAGGCTGACTTCAAAATCATAGAGATCTGCCTGCCTCTACTCAAAGTGCTGGGATTAAAGGCATGTGCCATCTTGCCGAACTCTGGTATTTTTATATTTTTAAATGTTTTTAGATCTTTTATCTACATGACATTTTAAAAAAATTTATGCTGTGAGCTATGGATGGACCTTATTTTTTTTCAAGTGATTAGTCATTTCCCAGTAAATATATTGATCAAAC